TTTGGTACTTCGAAACAGATTTTATAGTTACATTTTCGATAAATCCGTAACTGCAATTTCAAAATAGGTTACTATAAATAGGTAAATCGATTTTTGGTAATTGTGTGGTGGTTTTTTTTTTTTTTTTCTTTGTAATTATGATATCATAATTTCATTACTTTTTTATTTTAGAATTACGTTATGACACATTTGTAAGTTTATAAAATAAAAAAACCTGATTTCTTTTTATTGTAAATTTTTGTTAGTTAAAAAGATATAAATATATGCTATTAGTTACTTTTATATTTTATCTATTTTATGCCTAATAATATGTTGTACGTTTTTGTAAGATTTATAAAATAAAAAAACCTGATTTCTTTTTATTGTAAATTTTTGTTAGTTAAAAAGATATAAATATATGCTATTAGTTAATTTTATATTTTATCTATTTTATGCCTAATAATTAGTTGTATGTAATTTAAGGGGATTTTTGTAAATAGGGGGGGGGGGGGTCATAACTAAAAACCTTTAAAAACATGGAGAATATTGTAGTTTAGTGCATTAGTATCGAGTTACTTAAGTTTTATTTATGTGTTTAACTAATTAGTTAGCTTAGTCTGTATTTGCAACACTTTTGAGGAAAGAAAGAAAACATTCTTATATAAGTAGATCATTGTTTTACACTTTATTATTTTATTTTATTCACCTGGCACCATTAAAGCAAAAAGAGGGGAGGAACCTCTTTATTAGAGTCAAAATATTTAGGAAAATTAAATTTCGAGTTACAAAAGGAATTTTTAGTAAATAGTGGCAAATTACCATTTACTAAAAAATTAATAAAATAAAGAGGCCAAACAAATAATATTGAAATGGCCTGTGTTGAACAGACTTAAGAAGACCCGGGTCGGGTCACCTTGGTTTACAAATTTTTATGTCTACTTATCTCTTATAATTTTTATTTTAGGTTTGTTGTATGATGCATTAATGCATTAAAAAATTTGTTATACCCATGTTTGATCATAAATTAAATTTTTTCGTTTGAAAGGTATTTGTACTCAATTGCGTAGTTATTTATAATAAACTTTGTTATTTTTAATAAATTTATTTAAATGTGTGCATTTAAGATTTTTATGTTAACAATTTTCTTTTCTAAAGAACAATTAATCAAGGGGATACCAAAAAATTGGCAACTCCTGTATCATATAAGTTAACTTCATTTTAATCTTAATGGTTCGTATTATAAAAATTATTACAAGAATTTAGTTGATACTTTCGTCAATTTAAAGCATGACCAAGTGTTATTATTTTGTGTCAGTAACTAAAAACGTATTGTGTTATACTTAGAAAAGTTGATGAAAATGGTTCTGCCTTACACTGTTATGACCTATGCCATTTGTAAATTACTTAAATAATGTTAAGTAGTAATAGTAAATGTTAAGTAGTAGTTGGTAAATTGTTTTACCTCCTCATACATTTTATGTTAATTTTACAGATGGATTAATTTTTTCAAGCTGAAGGCGATTTTCTAAAAGGGTATTAGTTAAGGTTTTGCAACATTAAATTGTGAAAAACAGTCACTATAAATTAATTATGTAGCAGACCGACCAAAACCCGTATTACGGGTTGCTTTTTGCTAATACTATATTATATCTGTTTAGAATCATGGTATCAATCCCGGGATCCCAAGATTAATTTTTTTGATAATTTTCAATTCTGAAATCATGGGACTGCAATCCCCTCTAGGATTGCAGTCTCATGATTTCAAAATCCTGGGACTGCAATCCCCTCTAGGATGGCAGTCCATAAATAATACTTTTGAGGATATTTTTAAAAGGATATTTTTAAAAGGAAATTTTTTAAAAGGATACTTTTGAGGATATTTTTAAAAATTTTAAAAATGTAAACACACACATACCCACAGAGACGTAGCTCTTGTGTAAATGTAAACGTTTATATAACAAATGCAGCAGTAGTGTAGTGGAAAAGCACTTGCTTCATAAGTGAAAAAATTCTGAATTTGATTCCAACTACATCCCTGGTAGTACCGCACTCATACATGCAGTATCCTTGGAGTTTAAAAATTGAACAAGGATTGTAGCCACATTAAAGTAGCCTCCTCAACTACAGAGGCTCTCATGACCTTGAGCAAGTGAATAACATTGAATACACAAGAGGCTATTCTAGGAAAATAATTTGTGCGGCAGTGCCCCACGTGCTGGCACCTGCCATAAAGAAACTAGGTAAAAACATTACTGTGTGTAGGCATTTTTTTGCAAAAAAACAATATTTGCTGTAAAAAAGAAAAAAAAAATCCTCAATTTCTGATTTTGGGTGGTGCCCAAATACATTTAACACTGTTAAAAAGGGTCTAGAATAACCCTTATTTATGTGTGTGTGTGTATATATATATATATATATATATATATATATATATATATATATATATATATATATAGTATACTGTTAAAACCACTTTTGAAAAACAGAATAACTTCAATACAAAGTTAGCTTTAAATGAAGCTTTAGATGAAGTTTATGTAAAAGCTGCTTCATTATATCAAAGTGGAAATATTTTTGGAAAAGCTGTTAATTAACCAGAGAAATTAGCTACTACTGTACTTTCATTTATGATTAAAATTCTTTATGGTGGTCCTGAATTTTTAGCAAGAGTTTTACCAGTTACTAATTTAACATCAGATTTCCAACAAGACCGATGCAAGTTAATTGTTGACACCATAAAAAGTTCTATATGTAATGACAAAGTCGTTGGAATTATTACTGATGGTAATAAAGTTAACGAAAGCTTTTTTTCTAAATTCAAAACAGTAGATGGAAAACTTTGGTTATGTCAAAATGGAACTTATATTTTATATGACCATCTTTTGAAGTGCATTAGAAATAATTGGCTGACAGAAAAGTTAGGTCAGTTGCAGTTTACTTATAATGAAATATTTTACATTGCAAATTTGGAGAGATTTAGTTAACTTATATACACTTGAAAAAAACCAATTATTAAAGTTATCTAAGTTGATTGAAATACCAATAAATCCTAAACCAAAAGAACGACAAAAAGTAAGTAATTGTTTGCAAGTATTCAGTGAAGAGACAGTTGCAGCTCTAAAAACTCATTTTAAAATAGACCAAGAATCTGTCAAGAGTACTAATATTTTTTTGGAGTTGAATATAGATTTTTGGAAAATAGTGAATGTTAAATGTCCTGGTGCTAATCTTAGATTCAGGGAAGAGTCCCGTAATGTAATCAGATCTTCAGATGACATTAACTTGAAAAAATTGCTTGCTATTGCAACAATGGCTGAAAATATGAAACCAACATCTGGTAAATGAGTTTGTACTTATTTTATAACCACTAAATCAATTATTGAAAAAGTATGTTTTCAGCATGCTAAGCTGGTGCAGCAGCTAAATATTGATGTAGAAGGAAATGATGGCCATGACTGTCTTTTATGTCTCGTAGATTTAGATGACAGGGAAATTAATAATGTTTACAATTTAGTAGATCTAGAAGATAGCATAAATATAGACATTTTATATTCTATTGTCAATATTGCTGGTTATGTTCAAAAGTGTTCCCCTGAAGATATTGGAGATAATACAATTACATATTATGACAAATACAGAAATTATTCAAATATTTTAAATAGGGAAGGACTAACTATTCCATCTGATACTTTATCTCAATGGTCCTTATTTTGCTATTTATTTTTTTCTTCATTACATAAAAGAGTTTGGAGAATATTTCTGATTGGAGAGTTAACATTTATTGCAGAATTCTACAAATTTTTTATTTCAAAGAAACAATGCTAAATAAAGGCAAACTATTTTTTAAAGAACTTTCCATTATTCCACACTCCTAAAAGTAATAAAGAAACAAAACTCAAAAAAATTAAGTTTATGTTAAATGTTTTTTTTCCTATTTAGTACAAAAAAGTTTTTTTTATTTTTATATTACTTATATCTTTTAAATTAAAAATCTCAATTGAAAATGTTTATATTTAACTTTACTTTACTTTAAAAGTTATTAATTAAACTCAATAAACTATTTTTGCAAAAGAAATTAAGATTTTTTTCAAACAGACTATTAACTATTTGTATGTGTTTAATCATATCAAAGCTATATGACTTTGGTCCTCCATTTTTTTTCTTAATCAGCCTTTAGTCAAAAAATTTTCTGCACGGTGTTGAGGCCTTCTAATAAAGAAGGCCTTGATACATATATACATATGTATATATACTATATACATAATATATATATATATATATATATATATATATATATATATATATATATATATATACATAAATATATATATAAATGTATGCATATATAATAAATATATAAAATATATATATAAAATATATATATATATACATATATATATATATATATATATATATATATACATATATATATATATATATATATATATACATCAACCCTTGGAATTAGAAAAAATGACCTCAAAAAGATTGATTTGATGCAAAGGTCGAACCACAAAACATATTCAAAAAAACAAGGTCGGCAATTTTTTGCCACCTACAAGCATGACTCTAATTCTAAATGCCGACTAATTCCGAGAGTTGTATATATATATATATATATATATATATATATATATATATATATATATATATATATATATATATATATATATATATATATATATATATATATATATATATATATATACATATATACATATATACATATATATATATATATATATATATATATATATATATATATATATATATATGTATATATATATATATATATATATATATATATATATATATATATATGTGTATATATATATATATATATATATATATATATATATGTGTATATATATATATATATATATATATATATATATATATATATATATATATATATAATATATATGTATATTATGAATATAAATTAGGATAAATATTAATTTATTAACTTTTCAGCAAACAAAACAAAAAATTAACTAGACTTGACAAAAAAAAAAGTTAACCTTGCCATAAATTTTACTATACTCTCTTGGCCATGGAATTCCTCTTGGGGTAAGATTGAAGAGTTCTTGAACATTCCGAGTTTGATTATAAGCAACATTTTCACGTGTCATGTAGCCAATTAACATCACTAAAACAGCATATATTGTGTACAAAACAATCTCATTTGTTAAAGCATGCATTTTCAGTTCCTTAAATCTTTTTTCTTGCATTTCTTGTACTTTAGTAGAATTAAGTGGTTGCAGTTCAATATCTTTCCTTTCAAAAATAGTTGGCACACCTTTTAATTTGTTGAGCCAACTTTTATCTTGAACTAATAATACTCCTAAAAAAAAACATGTGGGTTAAAACATTGTTATATTGCTTCTACAAAAACCTTGTAATGTTATATGGAAAACTATTTGGAAAATATATATAAACTATTTGAAATATATATAAATAAAACTAAAACTAGCAAAAAAAAAAATTTTTAATTAAAAAACAAAAAAATATCTGTAAAAATACCTTGCTTTTCAACATCACTTTCTTCATTAATTTTTTTTACAATAAGGGCGAAAAAAATTGCCATAATAAATATTTTGATTGGGTCAGTTAAAAAAATCTCTTTAGCCTGAAAATAAAAAAAGCAAAATTGTAATTAATACTTTTTTAATAATAAATTTGACTTTTCATAAAAAACCTATTTATGCTGTTTTACATTTGCCGATATTTTAATTGGTTCAGTTAAAAAAATCTCTTTAGCCTGAAAATAAAAAAAAACAATACATTACTTAATACAAAATAATATTTAAAACGTCAAAATGAAACAACTTTTAATAAGAAAATTTTTTAATCAATCATGTCAAAAAGGGCAAGAAGAATTGCAATGTGAGAATTGCAATGTTTAATTATTTCCCATTTAACAACTAGATTTAAATTTGCATTTTTTTTTCAAAATACTTTTGATAGTTCAGTGTCATTTTTGTATTTAATAATCTTAAATGAGTTTACAGGGTAATTTTGAATGGTGTTTCACTTATACCAATGTATAATCTATAGACAGAAGTGTTAATAGGATCATATATATATATATATATATATATATATATATATATATATATATATATATATATATATATATATATATATATATATATATATATATATATATATACGTATGTATATATATATACATACAATAACGTATAAATATCAGCAATTTGCTTATCTTTTTAGCATATAAAAAGAGATGGTTTCTTGATAAAAATACTCATCTTGGACAGATGTTAAATGCATCCCTCTACTGTCATGTAGTAAGTTTACTAGGCAAAGAATTAGAGGGTAAACAGATTCTGTTAACCAGCCTTGCATCCTTTTTTTTTTATCTATTTGGCTGGTGCAGATGTATTTATAATACATTGTTTCCAGTTAAGGATGTTAAATGCTGGATCTTCTTAACTTATTGCATGAATTTTGCTTGTGTCTCTGTTTTTCTGACTAGGCAACTCATTCTATTATCTCCTAATGAGGGTACATCTCTAAAACTAAGTTTTACAGTTCTATGGCCAGGTGGTAGTCAGGTTTCCCGAACTCTGTGGTAGATCTCAGAGAGGCTGATTCCCTTAGCAGCTGTAGAATATATTAGAATACCAACAGTGCCATGTTGCATATGGATGGTAATCCTGTTCATACTTTTGGTGTGCATTGTTGAGGCCATATTTGGAGCCCTTTATTACATTTTAGGGTTTATTATATGAATGAAGCAATTGCTTGTATGATTAAATAGTGTACAGAGTACTATTTGAGGTTTAACTCAAATTTGTTAACAAATTTAAAAATGACTAAATTACCAAAAAACTATAAAACATCAAAAGACCATCACCAAGTTTTCTAAATCTATTATTCACTTATATTCGTGGTCTTCAAAGAAACTTTTCTTTCTGTTGAGTCTTATCTCTTGTAAAGTTCTCCAGACCTACTTGCTCTTTGTGAGACTAATTTAAGTTCAGCTGTCTGAACTTGTGATCTTAGTGTTGATAGTTATCTTTCTTTTATTCATAAAAACTCCAATAGTCACATAATTGGCCTGGGTATTTGCATTTTTAAGAAATCACCCATCTGTCAGAAAACAAGGTTTACATCCACAGACTATTCTTTTATGCATTTTTGTTAACCGCCACTCTATTGCCTCCTTAATCTCAAGACTCTTTTTTGTTATTGGCTGAATCTTTTATTCCCTCTCAACAATTCTCAGTCAAGCCTCACTTTTCTCCATGGTTTTCATTGCACTGTGCTGCAATTTCTAATCGAAACCATTACTTTCATATCTATCAGCAAAATAATAATCCAGAAAAAAGACATCTATTTACTGTTGCTAGAAACCATTGTATAAAGGTTTTATCTTATACCAAAGCCTGCTGTTCTCAGGTCTTGAAATCTAGTATTTCATCTTAAAAATGAGGCTCCAAAGACTTCTGGAGATGCTTTTAAAGTATCTATAATAAGGTGTTATCTCTTATTCCACCTCTCTTGTATGGTTCAGATTTTTTCATCTCACCTTAAGACAAGGCTAAATTGTTTGCTAAGAACTTCTCATCAATATTATCTTTTGATTTCACTAGTCGCGTTCTACCTGATATAGCCAACAAACAGGTTAGTCCATTGCCTGACTTTCATATCACTCCAGTTTCTGTATCCAAAGTAATTTCCTGCTTGTACTCTTCTACAGGTTGTGGAATGGACAACATATCTGTTATAACCTTGCAATAGTGTTCTCCAGAGCTATTGTCTATCCTTTCAAAACTATTTAACAAGTGCTTATTAGAGTCTTATTTTCCAGGTTGCTGGAAAGCGGCATCTATTATCCCTAATTTGAAAAACTCTGCAGAGCGATCTGACTTGTCTAACAACCACCAGATTGGTCTTCTTCCTATCATAGACAAAGTTTTTGAGTCTTTAATTAACAAACACTTAATCTCTTATTTTAAATCTAATAGCTTACTTTCCGATCATCAATATGGATTTCGATCTTCTTGTTCTACAGCTGATTTGCTAACAGTAATAATTGATGGGTTTTATTGTGCATTAGATAGATATGGAGAGAACAAAATAGCATTAAAAATTTAGAAGGTTTTTGTTAATATCTCATTCAATAATTTGTTTTGGAAAGTTCAATTAACTTTTAACTTATTTTCTAATGTTTATCTATGATATAAACACAAGTTGTCTTGGTAATTGGGGATCCCTTTAACATATGTGCTATTTTTTTTGAAAGAGGCATAAGTCACCTTTTCAAAAAAATCTAGTTATTGATAACAATAATTACAATGTAACTGTATCTCTTCATTTGTAAAAGTTTCATAAATATAGTTTCAAAGATATTTTAAATATATTTTCAACACAATAGGTTTTAATTATTTTATAAATGAAGAGATACCATATCATTGTAATGATTGTTATAAATAACTAGATTTTTTCAAAAAAGTGAATTATGCCACTTTCAAATAGACAGCTCATATATACATGTTTATTCTTATATACATTGTTGTTCATTCTTGCATAATTGATAGTCTTTCCATAATAAAAATATGATCTTGTATTGTAGAATAGCACAAGATTGGTAAAAGTAAATTAAATTATAAAACTAAATTGTAAATGATAAATTATTGCTCAAGAGTTTAAGATTAATAAAAAAACTGTTTGGAGGACATTTACTCATTATGAATTGTTTTGCACCATTAACAACAAGCTATTTATTTTCCATAAATTTAATTAATAATAGAGAGTAAGACAAAAAAGCCAGTAATTAATCTATGTCTGTTGGTCAAGACAATGAGAAACCTCCTTGATTTTAGTGGTACCCTTGGAGCAGAGGCAGTAGAAATGTCTCTGACTCAGTAGAAATATCTCGTTTTTCAAATGACTGCAAAAGTACTTTTCTCAGATTTGAAAATTTTTACTGTTAAACAGGCTCATAAATGACAAAATAACAGGCTAAAAATATTTTTCACAACTTAAAAAAAAAAAAGCTAACTGAAACAATAAAATAACATGAAATAAAGAAGACAGAAGATAAATTTTTAATACTAGAAATAAAAATTTTAGTACATACAAAATCTATTGTTATGACTGCTAACCAGTTTAATGATTTACTATTTCCAAAGGACATTCCATACCACAAAACAACTAAACCACATATAAAAATATTTCCAACACAAATAATCCATGCTATGTATAAACACCAATTCAATAAATAATTTTTTTTTATAATTAAGGAAGGGTTTGCTTTTTCAATAACAACGCTTGTTGAATTTGGGGTTGAATCTGAAAAAGTAAAAAAAAAAAATGTAAATTTCAAATGAAAAAAAAATTATATATTTAAAATGCAACCAAGCGAAAAAAGTTCTCTTACTGAAGTTCTCAGGTAGAGATTTGGATGGACTTTGTTCCAAATAATTTTCTCTATCAAGTGAAATATCAGTTAAATGGTGTTGAATTAAACTTCGAAGTGGTTTTTTTAAACGAAAAAACTTTAATAGAATTAAATGGATAGGTATCTTTATGCAAGTGGAAAGAAAAACCACAAAAATCTAAATTCATTAATGATTATATTTTATTTAGTTTAATAATAATTGTATATATTACATATATACAATTATTAATAAACTAAATAATATATAGTTATTATTAATGATTATATAATATTTAATTTATAACATATATATATATATATATATATATATATATATATATATATATATATATATATATATATATATATATATATATATATAATATATATATATATATATATATATATATATATATATATATATATATATATATATATATATATATATATATATATGTATATATATATATATATATATATATTATATATATATATATATATATATAATATATATATATATATATATATATATATATATATATATATATATATATATATATATATATATATATATATATATATATATATATATATATATATATATATATATAT